AGTTGTAGTTTCTCCACATCCTGGCCAACGCTTGTTATTGTCCATTTTTTTTATTAGAGCCATTCTAGTGGGTGTGAAGTGGTAGCTGATTGTGGTTTCAATTTGCATTTCCCTAATGACAAGTGATATCGAGTATTTTTTCATGTGCTTACTGGCCTCTTTATTGGGCACTGTATATCTTCTTTGGAGAACTGTCCATCCAAATCTTTTGCCTTCTCTATGGCAAAATAAATAAATTTTGGTACACGCGCATGCGTGCACGTGCGCGCGCACACACGCTGAGAGCACATTCAAATCCCATTGCAGATTCACATCAGAGTAACTCTATGAGACAGCCGTGATTAGCTCCATTTCTCAGGTGAAAGAACTGAGGCCCTGAGTAATGCAATGATACACCCAAGAGCACACAGTTTATGGAGTTTATGGAGTGTCAAGGTCAGGAATTTTATTTATTTGTTTGTTTATTTATTTTGAGACAGAGTCTTGCTTTGTTGCCCATGCTAGAGTGAGTGCCATGAAGTCAGCCTAGCTCACAGCAACCTCAAACTCCTGGGCTCAAGCAATCCTGCTGCCTCAGCCTCCCGAGTAGCTGGGACTACAGGCATGCACCACCATGCCCGGCTACTTTTTTCTATATATATTAGTTGGCCAATTAATTTCTTTCTATTTATAGTAGAGATGGGGTCTTGCTCTTGCTCAGGCTGGTTTCAAACTCCTGATCTCGAGCAATCCTCCCACCTCAGCCTCCCAAAGTGTTAGGATTATAGGTGTGAGCCACCGCAACCAGCCAAGGGTAGCTTATTAAACTAAATTCAATGAAAGGCTTTTGGAATAGGTGAAAGACCACTCACAATCCCTTCCCAGGAACGCCTCGTCCTCCCAGAATGCTAGGATTACAGGCGTGAACCACCAGGCCTGGCCAGGAATTTTATTTATTTAACAAATATTCACATAGTATTCATATTCACCAGTCACTGTTAGAAAGTCCATGAATTCTGTCTTCCAACAGTTTTCCAGAAAAAGTGTTATCATGAGAACGTCTCTGAAACAACATCTTGTTTCCTTTTAATAACTTTTCCCCTCCAATTACCAAAGCAATAGATGTTTATTATAGGAGAGGCACAAAGCAGATGGAGCAGAGATTTTTCTCCCTGCTTTCCCACAGCTCTGATCTGGGTTCCCTGTGATTTGGATTTATGTGACATGGGAAACCTAGAATGGGGAGTCCGTGGCTTCGGGAAACTTTATCAAGCATTCTGTATTCTGATAAATAAGACTTTGAGCAGAGGGAATGAGAAAGTTTGCTTTAGTTTGGGGACTTTTCTGGAAAGGACTGTTTGGGGGATCTGCAGTCCCCCTGCCTGCAATGGGGGATCCTCACGTAACCTGATCTTAACTTCAAGCAGGTCGCAGCTTCCTCGACTGGAAAACAGAACTACCCATCCCTAACTCATCCAGCTGTGGGGTGCACTCGTTCCACCTCCCAACAATGTCTGCAGCGCTGGAGACCCCGGTTTACAGGCAGATGTGGTTCTAGGGTGGAGTTCTTTGTTCAGAATAGCTCAGTGCCTTGAGAGACACAGATCTGAGTTTAGATCCTGACTTCATCTTTAACCAGCTCTTGGTCAAGCCCCTTTACATGTTTCAGTCTCAGTTTCCTCAACTGTCCAACTGTACCTGTGTTATAAGGTAGTTGGGAGGTTTCAACAAAATAATGCATGGAAAGTACCTAGCTGGATTGTACACCTAGGAAGTTCTCATGAAATATGAGCATACATCAATTACTGCAGGCCTATCATCTGCCTGGCACTCTCAGGGGAGGAAGGTATTACACAAATGTGCCAACAAAGCCTAGGTCCTGCTCCCGAGGAGTTTGAAGCTTTGTTGGATTCTTTGCTCCTGCCCCTCCATTCTAGCTGGGCCTTGAAGGATGGATCAGATTTGGGCACATGGGGGTGGAGGGGAGGAGGGGCCTAGAGGATATGGGGCCAGGTGGAGCCTGCGAGATGACAAAGGAAACAGCATGTACAGAGAAAGCTGCAAGTATTTTAATTTGGTGCCATGTGAGGGCATCTTCTGGGCCATTTCACACAAACCTTAGCTAACATATATTAAGGTACCTACTATGCACCTGGCACCTCTCTAAGGACTTTATAGCCAATACCTTCTTGAGTCCTCACAGTAAATGAAGAGGTCGCTTTGCCATCCCCATTTCAAAGATGAGGAAACTGAGGCTTAAGAGGTCCAGCAACCTGACCAAGATCACAACGCTAGGAATGGATGGGGCAGGAATTCAAGCTCAGAGAAGCAGACTTCAGATCTCTGCCCCACACCCCTTGCAGGAATTAGTTCCCAGGCAGTGAAACTCTAAAGCCAGTCCCAGCTGCCCGAAATTCAACCGTAGAGAACTGGCTCTCAGCCCCCTCTGACGGCTCCCTTTGTTTCTCCCAGCCCCACCCTGCCACCCCCATTTCCCTCCCTGGCCTTGGGGCCCTACTGCTTCCCCAAACCTGCTCTGCCACAATTCCTTCCAGATTCCCTCTCTGTAAAATGGGGATAATAATACTGTCTGTCTCAGAGCAGTGCTGTGAGGGGCAAAGAGATGCTCAGGATAAAGTGCTTAGAGCCCAGCATATGGTAGATTCTCAGTGAATGTTAGCGAGCACCATCACCACTGTCATTTTAATGTCTCTGATGTCCTGTGAAATAGGCTGAGTGATAGCATTATCTGTATTTGATGGTTGAGGAAACTGAGGTTAAGGGAGGTGGAGCAGCAGCTGCCCAGGGTCACTCAGCTAGGAAATAAACAGCAATTTTTTTTATTATTTTTTTTTTTTTATTAAGATAATAGGCTCCACATGTATATAAACAGCAATTTAATCGGGCCCTCCTGACTTTCTGATTTCAGAGCTCGTCAACTTTTGCTACTCTTTTCTAGGCAGATGAATGAATCATAATCAATATTTATTACCCACCTTCTACTTACCAAACCAGGCCCTAGATGCTGAGAGGCATTCAAAGAGTCATTTGAGATAGACTTTTGAGGAAGCTTAGATCCTAACTGATAAACAAAGTATGAAAACAAAGCTTTGTTTGTTGAGGCAGAACACAGTAAGGGTCCAAAGAGGCCAAGAGGTATTTACTCTGGCTGAGAGAGGAAGCAGGCAGGGAAGCCTTCCTGGAGGAGATGAGGTTTAAGCTGGGCCTCAAAGGACCAGTGAGGCGCATAGACTAGAGTAGAGGGGTCTATGCACTGCAGTTAATGTCAGAGATGCAACAACTGCTGCCAATTCTGGAGGCTTCTTATGAACCAGGGTCTGTGCTGAAAGCTTTGCATGCGTTATTTCATGAGATTTCCCCACTATCCTATGAGGAAAGAGTTATTAGGATGAGAAAATCAAGGCTCAGAGAGTTTATAAAACTTGCCTGGGTCACGCAGCTATTAATAGAAAAGAGGCAGGGCCTGGGTGTGAATCCAGGGCTGTTGGTTAATCATAATGCATTGTTGCCACCTTGTCCACAATTGATCTGATGAGGTATTAAGGCTGTGGACTGACTCTGGAAGGCTTTGAACCCTGAGGCTTAGACTTGCATAAAAATCACACAGCACCGGGTGGTAATTGGCAGACCTGGAATCTAGCAGCAGCTTTGAGCAGCTCTGCTGATCACTGCCCAAGGTCGCTTTGCTGAGCCTCTCTACACTGGAGAGATGAGGGATGTAAGTGGATTATCAGCAATGAAGGTTTTTGAATGAGGCAGGAAGGCTCTTGTGACAAAAAGATTGTTTAGGAGAAACCTGGAGATGTTCAAATATTTACTGAGCGTGTTGGGTCCTAGGAATACAACTGAGAACAAGGCAGAGGTCTGCACTCTGGACCCTCAGCCCTGCTGTGCCTGCAAGGGGCAGGGCACCACTTGTGAGTGCTGGGGAGAAACACTTTGCTGAACAAATAAGAGGTCTGAGCTGAACTGTCCCAGATTTGACTGCCAGATCTCGAATCAGGGGGTCTTTATGATCTTGGACAAGTTAACCAGCCTCTCATACTCTCCATCTTTACCACAGGGGTCACCATCCTCTTCCCAGGACTGTTGGAATAAAATAAATAAAACAACACATGTAATGATCTAACAGGGTGCTAGGCATACTGTAGACACTGAATAGATGCTAGTGTTCCCTAGGAAGAGGCATAAATGTTAGGCTCCACCCTCACCCCTCTGCCAAGAAAGGGAACAGGTTCCTGGCCTTCATTTTAGCGGGAAAAGGGATATCAATGCCTATGTGCTAGCTAAGCAGCAAAGCACACTAACAAAAGGCTCTGTGGCCTGCGGAATGTAATGCTGGGTCTGAGCTCGGGTAGGGACTCCACACCAAAATGTTTTCCCCGACCCCCGGGGAACCTGGGCCCGGTTCTCACTCTGCACTGCTCTGACCGCCTCTGCTTTGTGCATCCCAGAACCCCTCCCGTCTCAGTTTCCCCAGCTGCTAGCGCCCGGGGACGCTCTGCGACACTGACAGCAGGTGTGGCGGCCCCTTTAAGGAGTGAGAGAAGCTCGAGTTGCAGTCGCCGCCTCGAGGACGGGTCCTTTCCGGGGGGTGGAGCCTGTGCAGGTCGCAGCAGCCAACCAAAGCGCGGCATTTTCCGCGGGAGATCCGAATTTCGCGGCACGCAGTTTGGCGCTAAAAAAAAAAAAGAGGAAAAAAGAGGCCGAGAAAGGCTCGGAGACCAGATAGCGAGCCGAGAGGGAGCCGGTGCGGTCGGGACGCCCTCCCCCGTCCGAGCGCGTCGTGCCTCCGCCGAGCGCGCAGACACCCGAGACCCCTCGCGGGGCGGGCCGGACCCCGGGCGCCTAGGCCCTCGGGGCGCGGGGTCGCCCAGGTCGCGGCCGCCCTCAGGGCGGGACGGCCCCTGGCAGTGCCGCCACCGCAGCCGCCCGGCGATCTCCGAGCGCTGCTCGGCTCGGCCGCGAGCCAGGAGGGGAGGGTCCGGCCTTGCCCCGCGGGCGGCTTCCCCGGCGTCCGCGCCATGCCGCGGGCCGCGTGAGCGGCTGCAGGCTCCCGAGCCGGCAGGTGCCCGCGGGCGCGCCAGGCCGGGTTGGGGAGGGGCGCCGCACTCGCCATGCTGCGGGGGCCCCGGGTCCTGGCTCCGGCTGCCCCCCCAAAGGGGGTGCCCGCGATGAGCCCCACCGAGCTGTGGCCGCCTGGCCTCAGCAGCCCCCAGCTGTGCCCGGCCACCACCACCTACTACACCGCGCTGTTCCCGCAGACGGTGCCTCCCGCAGCGGCGCCCGGCACCTGCCTCGACGCCACTCCCCACGGACCGGAGAGCCAAGCTGTGCGATGCGTGCCGGCAGGCCGGCTGCCGGTAATGCTGGGAACCCCTGCTGCACCCCCTGAGCCTTTCCGGGTATGGGAAAGGAGGGAGGGGCGCCTGACTCCCGGTTTGAATGAAGCAGGGAGAGTTTTGAGGAGGGGGTAAATGAGCCTTCAGTTTCCAGAACAACCCACTGCCCCCAGTATCTGAGTAGAAGACCCCTCCATTTTCAAACTTTGGATGAAATAATCTTATCCAGGGGAATGAGCACTGGATTGTGTTCTTGGGTGTGACCTTGGCGAAGTCCACGTAGCCAACACTGTCGCATTCATTCATTCCTCCATTGTTTGGCCCAGAAACCAGTACTGGGCACCTGCTATGGTCCAGGCACAGGGTCTGGCCTGGGGATTCTGTGGGACTTTAAGACAGTGGGATAGTGGGTCTCTCAGGTCTAGTGGGTCTCTCAGGTCTAGTCTGGCTTGGACAGACTCCAAACTGTCCATTAGCCAACTCCTTACCCAGTATCTGCCCCCAGGTCCTTCCCAGGCCCCATCTTCCTTCCCAGATAGCCAGCAGCAGATACAAGTGTGGGCAACCCCCTGGGATTCTGTTCAGATTGACCACCCCCACCTCAAGCCCCCAGGCCTGTTGCCAGAGAGGGCCCAAAGTGTGGTGGCACCAGGCTGCCTACCTTGGCACAGGGTGTGTTTTGTGGGAGTGGAATTCCTGGAGCCTGTGTGAATCGAAACAACTGTAGCGTGGGGGTGGAGTGGGAAAAGCCCTAGGGGAGTGGGGGTGGGGGGGTTGGAGAGCCTGGTTTCTGGTCCTGACTCTGCCTCTAATTTACTGTGTATCCTTGGACAAGGCTTGGCCTCAGACTGGGCCTCAGTTTCCTCTTCTTGAAAATGAATGTGTGTATGGGGTGGCTGTGGGGCTAGCTCATCTTGGTCACTGCCAGGTCCAGGTCTTCAGTTTTGGAAACAGGCTCCAGGCTCCAGGGAGAGGAGATGGGGATGTTGTTGATTTGCTTAGTTGTGGGTGTGGTGAATAAGTTTGGGTGCGAGGATAAGATCACCCCCTCCCCACACCCCAGAGGCATCTGGTGGGACCCGTGCCAGTCAGCAAGCACAGATCCTCAGGCAGAGCCCCCACGCCCTGCCACTGGAATCAGGTTCTGCCTGTGTTGAAAGCTTTAACCTTCCCAGAGGCCCTTCCTGCACATTATTTCCAACTAGGTGGACAATAGGCAGGAGTGCTATTATCCGCATTTTACAGGTCAAGCAATCGAGGATAACTAGGACTGGGTATCTCGTGTTCAGCATTTTAAAGCCAAAAATATTTTTGTAGTCTGTGAAGTAGACAGCATTAATAGCTGCATGTTACAGGAGGAAACAGGGTCAGGGAGGGTATGTAACCTAAGGTCAGACAGGAAGATGGGATGGAGTGACCCTGCCCCTAAGGCAAGTAATCAGTAGTCTCTTCTCAAGGCATCTATGACTTTCCCCAATACTGCCTAACTTAGGAGCTGGGTGGCCCTAGGGAATTCTGCTTGGGTGGCAGGCCCAATCTCTCCTCTGGCCAGCTGCTTTCAGACACGAAGTTTCAGTAACAGCTGTGGTTTTGAACTGCTTTGAACTCTCCCATAGGAGCCCAAGTACATTTGTCCATACCTCCCTCCCAGAGGGGCTCAGTGATCTTAGCAAGAATGGCTCTCTTTTACTGAACGCCTCTTGTGTGCCAGGCACTCTTCACATTCATTATCTTGGTCCAGATGCCCAGGATGAGAAATCTTGCAGATGAGGAAACTGAGCAGGCAAGTGAAGTCACTTGCCCGGGTCACAAGCCAAGAAGTGGGGGAATCTCCCTGTACTAGACCACCCTAAAGATCTGCCAGGCTCAGAGCTCTCTTTCCTGTCAGTCCCCCAGATTCCCAGGGCCCAGCCCGTGGGCAGACCTGCACTCTGCTTACTCATTTTACAAGGGTGTGACCTGGAGCAGCCCCAAACCCAACCCTGGGTGTGGCCGCTTGCTTTGTGGCCAGGCTGCAAAGTGCAGGGTGAGCAGGATTTGTTGGGGAGCTACTGTTTAAAGGGACCTCAGGCACCGTCCAGGGATGGCAAGCAAGTTCAATGACAGAATGAAGGCCAGAACCCAGGCCTCCTCTCCCTGTCCAGTGCTCTTTCCAGCACCCTCTGGAGAAGGCTCAGGGGATGCTCCTTTGTTGGGTTCCTAATCTGGCCACACACATAGCATTACTCTGTTTCATCCCTGCAAGAACCTGCAAAGATAGTGGGATTCAGCGTGTTTCTCCTTTCCTTTTAATTTGTCTATATTTTCCAAATTTCCTCTGAGAACCATGAAAGAAAATACACATTTTAATGAACAACTCTATGAGGCAGATCAGATGGGGAAATGTAAGGTCAGAATCCCAGCTGCCCAGAGCAGCTCCTGCCCCCACCATCTAGCTTGGGGCTTAGGAGAGACCTGGTCCACTCTCGGTGTGACCTTGGGCAAGTCACTTCCCCTTCTCCGAGCCTCAGGTTCCTCACTTTGCTGCCTGCAAGGGGGTTGTGCCTGGGGAGCTCTGACCCACTCCCTCCTGGGACTGCCTGAGGAAGGAGCTGTGCTCTTCTGAACCCTAGGGCTTGGCAGGATGGGCTTGAATCCTAGCCAGGTCTTTGAGATCCAGCCATAGGGGCTGCCTAGAGGGTCCAGGTTAGAGCCAAGCCGGCCTCTGGGTGTGGCCACAGACCTTTGCTCTCCTTGGCCCATCACTGTCTCTTTTCTGCTTACCCTTGAACGTTCCCCGTGCTGGTGCCCCCAGTGTTTTAGTGCTGGCAGTTCTGCTGCAGGAACTCTGGATGTGGGCTGCACAGTCTCACTGAATCCTCAGTAGAGGTGGAGAGGATTGTCCCCATCTTACAGGTGGCTCAAGAGGTCAGCTGACTTCCCAGCTAGGAAGGGGGGTGCCTGGATGGGAACCCAGGCCGGTCTGACTCCAAGGCCTGTGCCAGCCTCTCCGTGATGCTTATCTCCTGGGCTTGTCCTCTGCCGCCTCTGTTCTGCAGGCTCAGCCCATCCATAGGCCGACTTTCCTCTGGCAGTGCCCAGAGGTGTCAGGGAGGCATCCTTAGGGGCAAACCTTGCTGCTTAGGGCCCCTGGGAGCAAATGATAAGGGTGCGGGAGAGTGAGAAAAGGGAGAGGGCTGTGTGTGCGTATATGTGTAGTGATGGGGGCAGGTGGGCACAGCCAGGCCTTGGCCCCAACTCCAGCAAATCCTGGGGAAATGTGTGTGGGGGACAGAGCTGAGGCAGCCTGCTATGTGGCTTTGGAGTCAGTCAGACCTGGGTGCAAATCCCGCTCTGCCCTTTGTGTGACCTTGGGCATGCTGCTTAACCTCCCTGAGTCTCCACTTCTTGTGTGCCAAGGGAGATTGCCAATGCTGACAGTGCAGGACTGTTATGTGATAGGCCCAGCACGGGTATTCCGTTCAAGGTCCTTCCCAGGTAATGAGGTTCTTCCTGGTGGGGGAGGTGGGTGTGGCTGGGAGACTCAGGTGGAACTCTCTTTCCTCTCCCTGCCCTTGGCGTTCCTTCTGAGGGCTGGATGAAGAACCCTGGGATGGACACCCTTGATCAGGATTGATAAAGGCCTTGGAGCTCACCAAGCCTTAGCTCCTTTAGCTGTACCATGGGGATTAGTGGTGTTGGGAAGATTCAGTGAGGCGATGAATGTTGGGGCTTGGCTTAGGACATCTGGAAGGTCTCAGCAAGTGACTGGGCCTTTTTTTAGTGACCGGGTGGGGCTAGATCCCTAGATTCTAAGATTTCACCAGCTGGGAAGACATAAAAGGAGTATTGAGGAGAGACTTCTAGAGGAATGAGCAGGGAGGTGTTTGGATCGGTCTGGGTCTGGGTAGGGGTAGAGGAGAGGAGTGTTATAGCCAGGATCCTCAAGTCAGTCCAGGAAGACTTCCTGGAGGAGGGCAGGAGTGGAGGGAGGGGAATTGACAGCAGGAAGAGCTGTCACCAACTCTCACACCTGTCAGCCCAGCTGTGCTAAGCAGCGGTTAGAAGTCTCAGCCCTACCGAGCATGACCTCACCACCAAGTATCAAAATAGGCCTCTCTTTCCAAGCCAGGGTAGGGGTGGCTGGAGGGGGGGTGGGGGGGAGGAGAGGAAGGAAGGAAATGGGTTCAGTGACCTCCAGAAGGGTGTATCCAGGAGGAGCTGTGACTGGATTTTAGGGAAGGGACTCTGCATTTCCTGAGTACCTATTGTGTGCTGAGCCACAGGTTGAGACTTTACCACCTTGAATCCTTACAGTAGCCCCTTGAGGTAGGTATTTTCTTCCCCATTTTACAGAAGAGGAAACTGAGGCTCCTAGATGCCAAGCATTTCCCCAGGTCATATGGTGAGCTTGCGAAGGAGCTGGAGACCCAAGCCCAGGTCTCTGACCTGTGGCCCCAGTGCCCCGGCCCTGCCCCACCCTAACCGTGAGAGAGGCCCTTTCCGGGCCAGTGCAGCTCTTGGCCTAATTGGGGCCGGGTGGCGATGGGTGGAGAGGAGCAGATGGGTCTGTGGTTTGATTTCCCCAGCAGGTGTTTCCCAAGCTTGGCGGGAACCGAGAGGGGGAGGGGGAGAGGGGCCTCAGCTGCTTGTCCTTAAGACACAGGGGAAGGATTCATTGTCTGCCCATCTCAGCATTGAAAGAACTGGCAAATGGAGTCTATTCAGGAGGCCCTGGGGCCCTTGAGCTGGAGCCCAAACATGGGGGTGGGGGCTGTTTGCACTGCTTCTTAATGTGGGCACCTCCCTGGGGTGTGGCACTGAGCCAGGAAGTCCCCTGAGTCTGGGTGGATGCCGGGCCCCACCCTGATAAGGGCCAGCTGTGGGGCTATGATGGGCACTGGGTCTGGCGGGGCCAGCTGCTTGTATGGGGAGCCATGCCCCAGACTGATGTGGCTTAGGCCCCGCCCACTGCTTCCTCTCTGCATCCTCCTGCATGCTGGGGGTGGGGAGCCTGTCTTTAAGGAACCCTGAGCCCTCGGCCAGAATGGCTTTGGTAGAGTCTCAAGTGCCTGGGCCTCAGATGACGTTTTTGTTTTTTGAGATAGTCTTCTTCTGTTGCCCAGACTGGAGCGCAGGGCCACCATCGTAGCTCACTGTAACCTCAAACTCTTGGGGGCTCAAGTAATCTTCCCACCTCAGCCTCCTGAGTAGCTGGGACCACAGGCATGAGCCACTGCACCCGTCCCAAGGATGAGAGTTTTATTTGCCCCTCAGAAAACTTCCTCCCCCTGAAAGCTCACTTCTCAGGTCGCTGTTATTTCCTTATCCAGTACAGCAGTGGCTGTAGCACAACTGAAGCACAGGTGGCCTCAGTACTTTGGTCCCCAGTCAGGGAAAGGCTAAAGGAAGAATGATTCTCAAACTCTGCCTCTCTCTCTCCTTGCTTCCTCCAAGGCCAAAAGGAAGCTGGACCTAGAGGGGATCGGGAGGCCTGCGGTCCCGGAATTCCGAACTCCCAAGGGGAAGTGCATCAGAATTGATGGCCTCCCTAGCCCCAAAAGTAAGTGGTGCTGAGGGTGCTTCTAGGGGTTGGGGGACAGGGCAGGGGCAGAGGGTAGCAGCCCTGCCCAACCCGTCAGGAGTAATATTTGTGTCACTTTCTGGTTTGCAAGCTTGCTGGGCATCCTCTCACTTGATCCTGCCAGGTAAGTAAGACTGTTGCTCTTTTACTGATGAGGCCACTTAAGACTCAGCCTGAGTTGCCCACAGTGACACAGCCAGCAAGTAGAACTGGGCATTACTTACTGACATGTACGCCTGGCACTGCCACCACGCCATACACTGCTCTCGTGATCTCAACGTGATGGCCAGCATTCTATTTGGGAGCTTACTAGTTTTAAAAAGTTTTCACATTTAGTTTAAAGTAGAACTTTTAGTAAAAGAGAAAATCCAGGTCAGAGGAGCAGGGATTGTCCAGGGTCTTTCTCCCACATGCAGACAGAGCTAAATAAGTGATTCAAAGGGAAGCAAAGCCTGGGTTAATCCAGCCTGTGCCACCTCAGAGGTGTTCAAGATCCAGAAGCTGCCCAGGCGGTGCTTCTCCATATTTCCGGTCAATATCCTTGTTGGGGCGGGAGTGTAAGCAGCCGTGTTTGGGAGGAGCACTGGTTTTGAGGGTTAGAGACAATGCAGAAGGCTCTTTCCTGACCTGACTGGTCACTCCTGTGAACCTTAGTTGTCTCATCTGTAAAATGAAACACAGCTAGATGAGGAATGGCAAGGAAGTTTCCTCTCCATTTGATTGGTAAAGGCCATGCAGATCACTGTATTGAAGGATCCTAAGGTTCATGATGGCTTCTGAAAAGAAGTGCACCGATCGATTGATCGATTAGTAATGTCTGCCATGGGTTCAAAATCTGACAAAGCAGTATGCCAAATGCTCGCCATTTATGTGTTAAGGGATTCTAAAGTCCCCTTCCAGAGGAATCTGAGACTCTCTAAAACTCAGGTTCCAGAACTATTTGGCCACTAAATTGCTATATGACTTGGAAGTCACATGATTGCAAAAATCTTGTGGTTTAAGATGCTGCAGCTGAGATGGGGTCTTGCAACACTGACCTCATTGAGAAAGGGACCTTTTCATGAACCTACCCTGCTGGACTGATTCTTCTCAGATAATCACTAGGCTAAACATGAAAAAGCAAGTGTGTGTCTATAAAAATGTTCTTGAATGCAGGCTTGTCATTCTCTCCCCACCCTCATTCCAAATTCCTGACGTATAACTAGCAGGATAAGGTAGTGGTTAAGAAGGAAGACTCTGGAGCCAAACTGCCTGGATTTGAAATCCCAGCTTTCCCACTTTCTAGCTGAGTGAACTGAGCAAGTTACACCTGTGTGTGCCTCAGTATCCTCATCTATAAAATGGGCATGGCTGTGTACCAACCTTATGTGGATGTTAAGCTTGTTAGTATATGGAAAGCATTAGAACGGTGACCTGCACACAGTAAGCAGTTACAGTTGTGGGTGGTGGTGTGGCTGCCCTAAGCTGTGGTGGACAGGTGCTCTGAAGCAGGAGTCAGGACGCTGGGCTTCCGGTGCTGACACTGCCCCCTGGCTGTTAGACCTAAAGCAAGTCACCTTCCCCCTTAGGTATCAGGTTCCTGTGTGCACAATGGTGGTGACCGACCCCTGCCTCACAGTGCTCTGTAAACTGGAAAGTGGGTGGTGAAGGGCAGTGAAAGGTGGTACTTAGCGGGTCCAGGTCAGTGGAAGGAGTTCCAAGGACTGGCCCTCCCTGAGCTGTGACTGGGCCCCTTTCTTCCTCAGCCCCCAAGTCCCCTGGGGAGAAGACGCGGTATGACACGTCTCTGGGGCTGCTCACCAAGAAGTTCATTTACCTCCTGAATGAGTCCGAGGACGGGGTCCTGGACCTGAACTGGGCGGCCGAGGTGCTGGATGTGCAGAAGCGGCGCATCTACGACATCACCAACGTGCTGGAGGGCATCCAGCTCATCCGCAAGAAGTCCAAGAACAACATCCAGTGGGTGTGAGTGCCTGAGTGGGGCCCGTCCAATGGGTGCTTTGCTGTGGGCGGAGCCAGGGGCAACAGCCAGTGGGTGTGCGTGTCAGGGGCGGGGCTGAGAGCGACGTCCAATAGGCTTATGTGCTGGAAGAGCCCATCTATTTTCTGGAGGGGCGGAAGAGCAGGTAAGGTGCACCTGCTGGAGTAACAGTGAGTAGGGGACAGGGTGGAGAAAGATTTCTAGGAGATGTAAAGGCCTAAGAGTACCCCAGATTCTTCCTCCTGAGTCAGGGATCCTAAGATCCCCTCTTTTAGCTTAGGAAAGCTCCCTGAGAGCTAAGTAGGAGTAACCCGGACTCTTTCCAGCTCTAAGATACAGTACTCCAGCCTCCGCTGCCCACTTCTGCAAGGCCATAAACAGCAGACCTGCAGTCCCTGGCGTGATCCCTAAGAGAATGCAGGCAGGGGAGTCAGGACTGAGATCACCCCAGTTCCCTACCATCCAGGGGAGGCTGGGGCATAAGGATAGACAAGAGTTGAGAGTCCCCCAGAAGTTGGGTTTAGGCCTTGACTTGTTTCTTCTCCCTAGCCCTATGCCCAAAGCTCAAGTTCCAAGCCCTGGCACCCCTAGGAGCTAAATATGACCACAGATTTGCATGACCCTGGGGCATCCTCACAGACCATTTGAAGGGCCTCCTCCTAGAGTGTTACCCACACCATCTGCTCAGCTCTGCTCAGCAGCCCTGGGGTTGGGGTCTCTGGATGTGGACTGAGACTGACATTGGGGGGGCTTCTTTGTTCCCAGAGGCAGGGGAATATTTGAAGACCCCACGCACCCTGGGAAGAAGCAGCAGCTGGGGCAGGAGCTGAAGGAGCTGATGAGCACGGAGCAGGCCTTGGACCAGCTCATCCAGAGCTGCTCCCTGAACTTCAAGCACCTGACTGAGGACAAGGCCAACAAGAGATATCCTCCTTGGTGGGGACAGGGGTCAGGGAACAGGGGCCTGTTGTTTGTTTATATCCATCCTGAGTTGACGCAGTACTTCCCCGTAGGGACTAACGCACACTCAGGGTTTGGCATCTCTGTTTCTTCCTTCCTCTGGCTTTTCCTCTCAAGTCTATTTAAGTTACATTCTCCTCAAATACCCTAAAAATCAAAGTCTGAAAAAAAAGAGTAAAAAATAAAAAGACTAAACAATATAATAATAAGAGTAAAAAAAGAAAGAAAGAAAGAAAAAGATTAAATTTTTAAATAAAAAAAAATGAATCAAGTACATGTCTTTAAATCTGGAAAATGGAGAAAAAAGAAACAACAAGCTACCACCTTAAGACCACCTTAAGCTATCACTTAAATACAGTTGTGTGCCTGCCGAACATAACATTTTTATCCTGCTTTTCTCCACTTAGCATATTACCATAGACATTTTTCTGTTACTACATATGTTTCCTAACCACTTGGTTGACCATATGAAATGGCTGATATTTGACCACAAAATAAGCAATTTCATATGGTTCAACCTCATATTTAATGGTTTGAGACTGTCCTATTCAGACTGCACACTGGTTTGTTGATAAGGCCTAGAATGGATATTTAGATCAAGATAATGCTTTTATAAGCAACATAGAGATGGCTATCTTTGTATATAGAATGTTTTCACATATCTTTACTTATGTTCCTAGTTTGGATTCCTAGGATTGAAATGATGAGGTCAAAGATCATAGAATTTACTAAGGCTCTTTCGTGCATTTTCCCAAATGGTTTCGTGTCTAATTGGGTTTTGGATCTGACCTTGTATTTTTGGAAAGATGCTAGGCCTTGTCAGAAATATAAAGCAATAGAACATATCTTCCTGCCTTCTAGAGCTAATGATGTAGTTTGAGAGATGAAGCCTTTACATAAAAAGCTTATAGAAGGCAGCATTTTTTCAATGATTTATACTTCCATTTACTTTCTAAAGGGATCCAAGCTTAGTTTATATTAAAAGATTTCTAAGATGCCCAAGGAGTGAGAAAGTGATGTTCAGAGGCTTAGGAGAGGTGGGTGAAGGCCACGACTGGCAGGCTGGGGGTTTGAATTCTGACCAGACAGTCCCTTTTCTTGACTCTCCTGCTCCTACACTGGCCTACGTGACGTACCAGGACATCCGCGCCGTCGGCAACTTTAAGGAGCAGACGGTGATTGCTGTCAAGGCCCCTCCGCAGACCAGACTGGAAGTGCCTGACAAGCCTGAGGTGAGAGGGGAAGTATTTGGTGAGAAGCAGGGTTGGGAGGGTCCCGGCAGCTCTGCAGACTCTGTTCCTGGCCCTGCCCAGCCCCCAGCTTCCTGGGTCCATTCTGGTGTCCATGGCAATATTGGTGGCCTTCAGACTTGGGCAGAAATGGCAGAAACAGGAAAAGGCAACGGAGACCGAGTACTGGCCTGAGAAAATCTCTGTTCCTGGTTTCCTTCTGTGTCAGCAGCCTGGGTTCCTGTGCACACACGCACACATGTGCCCACACACGACGCCAGTACTCACACAACCCTTTCATGCTGACTGTGCTCTCCTGATTAAAGTTTAAAATTCTTAACATTCCCTATGAGACCTGCGGTGCTCTGACCCCAACTGACCTTAACAACCTCCTCTTCCACGTTGTCCCATGCCCCATGCCGACAACACTGACCTGTCTACAGTCTCCCCGTCACACTAAGCCCATTCCTCGTGTAAGACCTTCACACATGCTGTTCCTCCAGCTGAAATGCTCTTCTCTCTCTCTGGTTTATTGCTATTCATCCTACAGATCTCAGCTTGCATGTCACTTTCTCAAGGAAGCCTTCCCTGATCACCCCTAGACTTCACAACTACCTGTGCTTTTCCACCACTAATCTCCATTTGCTGGGATATGTTTGGTATGATTACATGATTTATTACAGTGTAAGCTTCAAAAGAGAATGTTCTGCTCACTTTTTATCCCCAGCCCAGGGCCTGGCACATTATAAGGGCTCAAGAAATAATTTGTTTAAAGCAGGAACTGGGGCTGCGGAGATAATTAAGGGCCTCCCTTCCTTGGAGGAGTTCAGGATCTAGAGGGGAAAAGACCTAAGCAAACAGTGGTGTCATCATTTATAGGCTGAAGATGTTCTCTGAGAGCACAGAGGAAGAATAGTTAGAGGAAGCAATCCACATGGTGACAGTTAAATTGGGACTTAAAGAACGAACAGGAGTTTTGCTCGGTGCAGCACTGCATGCACGCAGGCGTGTGCCGGGATGGCACGCGTACAGTCAGTTATGGCTTAAACTGCAGGTGTATGGTAGGGAAGAGGCAGGTGTGGGAAGGCCAAGTATCAGGACTCTTGGTTACAAGTAGGAAGCCAAGTCCATCTGGCTTAAGGGGCGGTGGGAACCAAGTGACAAGTCCCAGGGGTGGGAGTGGGGGAGAGATTTGGAGATTAGAGGCGCGGCTGGATGTAGGTGCTTGAACTGTGACTTCAGGTCTATCTCGCGCTCTCCGTCTGTCACCCTACTTTCCTCTGTGCTGACTCCATTCCCAGGTGAGCTCTCCCCTTGCAGTGACAGAGTTGGTTTTTATGATACCAGCTCAACAACCCCAATAGGAAAGAGCTTCCCTTTCCCACAAGTCCAGCCAAAGTCCTGGGCCTAATGCTGGTTGGATCAGCCTGAGCCATGTGCCACCCTGAACTTCTCACGTCACTCTGACTTTGCCGGCTGCATCACAAGTCACATGCTGGAGTTGGGGAAGGGTGCTGCCCCCAAAACTACATGACCTGGGAGTGCGAGAGGAATGATTTCCCAAAGGTAAATCAACATGTTCTCCCTAAAAGAAGGGGACATAGGGCCAGACAGCAGAAACAGCGGAGTCCACTGCAGGCCAGCTAGAGCAGGCCCGTGCCCAGTTCGGGGGCTGAGCTTGCACACCTGGACAGCAGCAGCCACCTGTGTCCATCCATACACACCAAGCCACAGGTAAGTGTCCAGCTGCCCAGAGCCATGACCTGGCTTCTCTTCCTCCTCCAGGAGAACCTGCAGATATATCTCAAGAGCACCCAAGGGCCCATTGAAGTCTACCTGTGCCCAGAGGAGGTACAGGAGCCGGACAGTCCTGCCAAGGAGCCCCTTCCCTCCACGTCCGCCCTCAGCCCCAGCCCTGACTCCGCCCAGCCCAGCAGCAGCACCCACCCTGGGACCTCGGAACCCACAGCATCCTCATCCTCAGGTAGGGCCCCCCCGTCCAGAGGGACAGGAGGTGGGGAGAGCCAATGGCCTTAGTTTTCTCTTTGATATCAACATTTATTGGATACCTACTGTCTACCCAGCGTCTGGGGGTACATTCATCCTTCCTACATGTGTGCATCACACTTTATGCTTTATAAAGCCTCGCTGGGGAGGCTGGTGCTGCTCTGGGGCGGAGGAGGGCCTGGATTAGAACCCCAGCTCTTCCGCTAACCAGCTACGGGACCTCTGACAAGGATTTCACCTCTCTTTGCTTTAGTTTCCTCATCTGTATGTTGGGCGTAGTAATTACCAGCATCTAACTCATGGGTAGCGAGGACTGATGAGTTAATACAGGTAAAGCACTGGGAGCAGTGCCTGGCAGTAACTGGTGGCTGCTGTCGTCACTATTACTGCCATGGTCATGGTACTGCTACTCCTGGAACAACTGCTCTCGGCAAAGCTCCTGGCACTCAGCAAACCTGCGGTAAACGGAAACTGTTTTTTGAGGAGGGCTCAAAACTTTCTCAGGATATGTATAATAACTAAGGTTTTTTGAACCACGGCAATGTACCAGGTATACCCGTGATCACATGACTCCTCACAGCAATTCTTGAGGTAGGTCTTACCATTCCCAGTTGAGAGATGAATAACTGAGGCAGAGAGGTGATGTCATTTGCCAAGGTCTCCCAGTTGGGAAGCCGCAGAGCTGTGCCTTGAACCTTGGTCCACATGCTCCTAGCCCAGTGCTCTCTCCACAGGGCACCGAACAAATCCAGGAAGGGCTCCTGGCTGGTGGTGGTTGGCGCAGCTCGAAGCTGGCCAGTCCTGGCAGGAAGCCGTGCGGGGGAGTTGCCCAGGAGCCCAGAGGCAGAAGCCCTTGAGAGCTTCCAAGGAGGGTAGGAGTCCGGAAGGAGGGAAATGGAAGCCTGTAAAGGTGCCTCCTCCAGAAGGGTTTCTGCCCTTGCCGGGGTCACACGTCAGGTTAGACTGGCAGGATTCTTCAAGGCCGGGTAGGCCCATGTTCCACTTTTTGTTTTCCTAGCAGCAGAATTGCTTTAAGTAGAACCCTGGCGTCAGAAGCAGAGCTAAAACTGGTCGGATGGAAGAGGCTTGGTGGGGAGTTCTGCAGAACACAGGCTGGATTCCATTTCTTTAACTCAAAGTTGACAAACTATTACCCGCAGGCCAAATCTGACCTGTTTTTTTTATGGCCCATGAGCTAAGAATGGTTTTTACGTTTTTAAAGAGTCGTTCAGGGAAAGTAAAAGAAGGCAACTGTGTGACAGAGACCACAAGTGTCCCATAAAGCCTAAAACACTGCCCAGCCCTTTACAGAAGCTTGCTGACCCCTAATCGAATGCAATCCTTCTTTTTACACATGAATAAACTGAGGCCCAGAGAGGGCAAGTGGCTTCCCCGAGGTCACACAGCAAGTTGATAGCAAGGCTGGGATGAGAGCCCAGACTCCCATCTCTTTTCTAAGTGACTTCTGTGTCTTGGCTTCATCCAGAGACCAGGGCTTCTCCGTGCCAGCCATCTGTCCCTCTGGGCACCTCCCCGGTGCCTATCTCCCATCCCAGACCTGTGCCCCACCCTTTTGCCCCTCCTCCTCTGCTCTGCCTCCTCACTGAGCTGTCAACATGTGCACAGCTCTCCAGAGCTGGAACCGCTTTCGCTTCAGCTGTCCTGTCCTGAGACCTTGGGCGGAGGCGGCAGAGCCACAGCGAAGCAAAGGGTGAAGCTTTTACCTCAGTTCCGCAGATAAGAGCCTCAGGCCCAGAGACGAGTAGAGGCTCGCAGAGCAGTCGGTGGGGCCAGCCTAGAAGCCAGCTCTCGTGCCACGGCTGCCCCTCACGCTTGCCACGTGGCCTCACAGCGTCTGTCGTCCCTGCTGAAGGTGGAGGGGGAGTTTTCCTAAAAGCGTGCACACACGTTCCACGTTCCGGCCTGCAGGAGAGGCGTTCTGAGGTCTGAGCGCCAGAGGCCAGGCCCGCGGAGGAGGCCGCTGCAGTCTTGGGACCCGGGTTCTGGCGTCACCAGGGGAATTGCTAACCCTCTGCGGCCTCAGTTTGCTTCGTCTGTCGTGGAGGGGTGTGAGCAAGGGTCGCCTCTCACGTCCCTCGAGGCTCTGACATTGTTGGGTAGCTGGTGGCACAGGATTTGAAGCTGGGAGACTTGGGTTCGAGCCTATAGCTCACCTCTTAGTGACTGTGGACAAGTCCCTTTAACCCCTCTGAGCCTCAGGTCCCACATCTCTAAAATGGGGACACTTAAGATTGCCCCATGCATGCTGAGTGGGTTACAGGAGCTGAACGTAATTTTTTTAAAAAAAATCTTATGTGAACTGAGCGCCTGCTGCGCCGGATGCGGTGTGGTTCTGGAAATGCAGAAATTGTAGCAGCCATTCCGAGGGTGTTGGAGAGACAGAGACTGCAAAGGGTGACTCTGTTCTGGACATGATCGCTGCAGGAGAGAGACCCGTAGTGGTGATTGCCCCGTGTTTTATCAGTCACTGCTTCCAGCAACTCAGCCAGGTGGATCCTTTGCCCTCAGGAGAAAACTGGGGCACCAGGTCCTACAGCGGGTGAGAGGCGGGGCCGGGCTCCGAGCCCACGTCCTCCCTGCTCCCACGCCACGTCTCTTACTGTAACACCAGCAGCGTGCCAAGCCAACATTAGTTTTTTGTTTTTCCATTCAAATATGTTTAGTCGACTTCTTTGGGCCTCAGTTTCCTCGTCTGCAAATAAGGGTAACAGCATTGTCTCCCTCAGGGCTGCTGAGTATCCGAGGAGGATGAAGGTGCCTCCCCCGGCCCGTGCTAAATGGGGGCAGTTCCTGTTATTAGCAAGGGCAGCAGCAGACCCAACAGGGTTTCTAGACATGCACTTATCATGTAATCCTCTCAACAGTGCTTTGAGGTAGGCATAGTTATCATCTTCCTTTTAGAGGTGAGGAAATGGAGACACATAAACATGAAGTCACTTGCCCACAATTTCACAGCCAGTCTGATCAAGCAGTTACACGGCCCGCAGTCAGTCCATCAGGCAGTCTAGCATACCCTGCCCGGCTGGATTTTCAAAACCGTGCTTGAGCCCAGCACGGTGGTGTGTGGCTGCAGTCCCAGCTACACAGGAGGCTGAGGCAGGGGGATTGCATGAGCCTAGGAGTTCGAGGCTGCAGTGAGCTATGATGATGCCACTGCACTCCAGCCTTGGTGACAGAGTGAGAGCCTATCTCTCCAAAAAATAAAAATAACAAACTAAAAAAACAACACACACAACAAAAAAAGGGAAAAACAATTCTTGATTGGGGTTTAAGGGATGATTCAAATAGTGACATTCTGAGCATCAGGACATATTTGGCAGGCGATTTCTGGTGCCCCATTCCATGTGCCTGTGTAGGAAAATCACTGTCTTACCTCTAAGAGGAAATGAGCTTGGAGTGCTGAAGAATGGCTGATGGCCGGTGTGGCTGGAAAGGTGGGAGGGTGAGCTGTGGGAGGACGGGGGGAGACGGGTGGGAAGGTAGACAGGTGCCAGATCATGCAGGGCTTCTCAACCCTGGTCGGACCTGGATTTTATTCTAAGCCAACGGGAAGACATTCAGGTTTTTCAGCTGATGCACAAACTGCAAGGGGGGAAGCAAAGTGGCAGGTGAGGAGGCTCCGCAGTGATCCAGGTGAGGGTGGACGGGGCTAGGACCAGGACCGCAGCAGTGGAACCCAAGAAAAAATGGGCAGCCTATAGAATGTTTTTGGTTGTGGAGATGACCAAACTTGCTCCTGGATTGGATGCTGGGTTGGATGCAGGGGAAATGGCAGAATTACGGGTGATTCTTGAGCTTTTGGGCTTAGGCACCTGAGTGAGTGGTAGTTCATTAACTGAAATGGAGGAAGACTAGGGGAGCCATGGGTTTAGGGGAAGACCAGGATTTTGGTTCTGACATGCAGAGCTCTGATCTACCTTAGCCATCCACGTAGAGATGTTGCAGGACCTCTCAGGGGTGGGGGCCATGCCAGAGGCCTCCACTTGGGAGCAGCATGTCTAGAGAGGGAGTTAAAGCCATGGGCCAGGTGAGATCACCTGGCGAGGAGTGCAGCCAGGGGAGAGAAGGGTCTGAGGATGGAGCTTGGGGGCCATCAGGGCTTAGAAGCTGGGAAGAGGAGCGGGTAAAGGAGACCAAGGAGAAGCAGCCAGGGAAAACAAAAACCAGAAGGATCTCTGCAATCTGAAGCCAAGTGAAAAAGACGTTTCCAGAAGGACATGAAAAACTGCATCACGTGCTACTGAAAGGTCAGATGAGGCCAGAGAACTGACCATGGGCTTTAGCAACATGGAGATTACTGGTTCAGTGGCACGGTGGGGACAGACCCCAGACTGGAGTGGGTTGAAGAGCGGGTAGTAATGGGGAAGTAGAGGGCAAGCACAGGCAGCTCCAGAGAAAGTTCACTATGAAAGGAGCAGTAAAATGCGCCGGTAATTGGAGAGGGTCATGAGGTCAGGTATACTTTTTTTAATTGTGGTAAAATACACACAACACGTAATTTACCATCTTAACTCTTTTTAAGTGTATAGTTCAGTGGTATTAATAAATACTTCATAATGTGCAAACTATCACCAGCCTCCATCTCCAGAACTCTTTTCATCTTGTAAAACTGAAACTGTCTCTATGAAACACTTAACACCTCACTCCCCTCTCCCCCAGCCCCTGGCAAACATCGTTCCACTTTCTGTGGTTTTGACTGTTCTAAGTATCTCATAAAAGTGGAATCATACAGTATCTGTCTTTTTGTGTCTGGCTTATTTCACTTAGCATAGATTCATCCATGTTGTAGCATATGTTAGAATTTCTTCCTTTTTAAGGCTCAATAATATTCCATTTATAGATATAGCACATTTTGCTTATCCATTCATCTGTCGATGCACACCTGGGTTGCTTCCCTGTTTTAGCTATTGTGAGTAATGCTGCTATGAAACATGGGTGTACACATATGTCTTTGAGATGCTTTCAATTCTTTTGGGTAATACGCCCAGAAGTAGAACTGTGCTGGATCATATGGTAATTTTATTTTTAATCTTTTGATGAATTGCCATATTGTTTTCCATAGTGGCTGTGCCACTTTGCATTCCTGGCAACAGTGCATGAGGTTTCCAATTTCTCTACATCCTTGCCAACACTTGTTATTTTTCTGGTTTTTTGGTAGTAGCATCCTGGTGGGTGTGAGGTGGTATCTCATTGTAGTTTTTTTTTTTTTTTTTTTTTTTTGAGACAGAGTCTCGCTTTGTTGCCCAGGCTAGAGTGAGTGCCGTGGCATCAGCCTAGCTCACAGCAACCTCAAACTCCTGGGCTCAAGCAATCCTCCTGCCTCAGCCTCCCAAGTAGCTGGGACTACAGGCATGCGCCACCATGCCTGGCTAATTTTTTCTATATAGATATTTATATTTTTATATATATATGTTAGTTGGCTAATTAATTTCTATTTATAGTAGAGACAGGGTCTCACTCTTGCTCAGGCTGGTTTGGAACTCCTGACCTCGAGCAATCTGCCTGCCTTGACCTCCCAGAGTGCTAGGATTACAGGCGTGAGCCACCACGCCCGGCCTCTCATTGTAGTTTTGATTTGCATTTCCCTAATGATTAGTGATATTGAGCATTTTTTCTTGGGCTTACTGGCCATTTGTTTATTTTTCTTTGGAGAAATGTCTATTCCATTGCTTTGCTCATTTTTAAATCTGGTTGTCTGTTTTTCTGTTGTTGAATTTTAGGAGTTCTTTACAATATCTGGATATTAGTCCCTTATCAGATGTGATTTACAAATATTTTCTCCCATCCTATGTGTTTTCCTTTTACTCTGTTGATATTGTTTTTTGATGTATAAAATTTTAAATTTTTCATAAAGTTCAATTTGTCTATTTTTTCTTTTGTTGCTTATGCCTTTGGTGTCATATCCAAGAACTCCTTGCCAAATCTAATGTCATGAAGTTTTTGCTCTATGTTTCCTTCTAAGAGATTTGTACGTTTAGGTCCTACATTTCAGGTCTTTGATCCATTTTGAATTAATGTTTATGTATGGTCTTGGATAAGGGTCCAGCTTCATTCTTTGGCATGTGGATGTCCAGTTTTGCCCTCACCATTTGTTGAAAGGATTGTCCTTTAGGGGAGGATGCTTTTTAAAGATATGGGTTATTAGCGTATGTCTGTGTGTTGATAAGAATGATCTAATAGAGTAAGAAAAATGGATGATACAGGAAAAAGAGGAAACTATTTGAGGGGCGAGGGCCTTGAAGGTGAAAAGAGGCAGGGTTGGGTCTAGAAGCGAGGAGAAGGGCGCACAGTTGTTTGGAGAACTAGAAGTCTGTCCTTGGAAGTCGTCGCACTGAGGCCTGATTTCAGCTCCAGAGGGGTTTGGGCACCAGGGCCAGGCATGACCCTTGTCTATTTGTTTTTCGTTTTGTTTTGTTTTGTTTTTGAGACATAGCCTCACTCTGTTGCCCTGGCTAGAGTACAGTGGCATCACCATAATTCACTGCAACCTCAAACTCCTGGGCTCAAGCGATCCTCCTGCCTCAGCCTCCCGAGTAGCTGGGACTATATGCATGCACCACCATACCCGGCTAATTGACCTTTGTCTATTTGTTTGCAGTGCCAGAGCTGACTCCCCAGCAGGTTCCGCCACCACCACCACCGCCACCACCGCTGCCACCACCGCCGTCCCTTGTCCCCTTGGAGGCCACTGACAGCATGCTGGAGCTGCCGCACCCGCTCCTGCAGCAGACTGAGGACCAGTTCCTGTCCCCGACCATGACGTGCAGCTCCCCTCTGATCAGCTTCTCCCCGCCCTTGGACCAGGATGACTACCTTTGGGGCCTGGACGGGGGCGAGGGCATCAGCGACCTCTTTGACTCCTACGACCTTGAGGACCTGTTGATTAACTGAGTTAATCAAACCCTAGCAGCCTCACCCCTGTCTCTACCTCCTCAGACAGGCAGGCAGGCGCTCTGCCCGCTCAGGGACACTGGACGCCAGGTGCTGTCCTCGGGGCATGGGGTCTCCTCTCCTCTCCCGACTCCCTACTGACAGAAGCTGTCTGGGGGACGTGGAAGATACAGTGAGGAGTGTGGCAGGGGTTGGGTCCTGTCCTTCCCAACGGAAGCTGGGCCTGGGAAGGCCCCTCTAGTCTTCTGACCTCTGACCTCTCAGTGAAGGAAGGACGGCAGGTGAGGTGACCAGGTCCAGGGAAAGGCCCCCTACCTCCTTTTGAGGGGTAATTAGGACCCTTGACTTACCAAGAAGCACTTAATGCCTTTGTATTTATTCTAGTTTGAGTTTCGTTTGTCCTCCCTGAGTTTTAGCAGGGAGATTGTTCTAGTTTTTACCAAGACTTGTCCTTAGACCCAAGGGGACCTGTCCCTGTCGCTGTCCCAGGGCCTCCCCCCAGCGGTGGGGGCAGGTCTCCGAGGGCCGTCAGCCTGTCTGATGCTGACTATTAATAATTGCACTTAGGACTCCTGATTCGAGTAAGCGGTGGCTCGCACGGGCCCTCTGCCCTCTCCCCTGCTCTCGGCTGAGGCGCCGGCCTTCCCCCTGCTCTCCTCATCCCAGAGGTGGTTCCAGGGACCCGTCCCAGGGCAGGCAGCTTTGAGGCTCCTGTGGAATTTCTTACCTCTCCCTCGCCGTAGAACATAGACATGATCCTCCAGGCACCTGCCAGAGAGGAGTTCCCGAGGAAAACACAGGCGGGAGTGTGGAGGTAGCAGCCACACTGGCACTTTTCCTCAGAATTTCTGCCTCGCACTGGTCCAGGCGGGTTTTACACCCAGGACCTGGAGGCTGAGGCAGCTCCATTACAGAGAAGGGTCAGACCAGAAACTGCCGAAAGCCTTCCCTCCCCTCGTAGTTGCTGGTATCGTTCCCGATTCCCTAGGAGGATTTGTTTTGCCATGTTTGTTGAAGGGGATGATTCTTTAAGGACCTCCCCTTGCCCCTGGCTCTCACTCAGACCCCAGGGACAGAGGCGACCAGGGCTCAGTGGCATGTTTGCTCCTTTTGTCACTAGAATGCTGAAAGGGTGACAGGGATGGGTCTTCGTGGCAGACCAGCCCTTGGCCGCTAATGGGGGGATGGGCTCATGTGACCTCGTCCGGCCTGGCGTCCTGAGAAGGTCTTTTGGCTCCACTCTGTCCCGCCAGAGTCTTTGCATCCCACATTGTCCCTGCGGCCCAGCAGGGGCAGGGGTCGGCCCTTCTCCCACCCAGCCTGGGCCAAACCAACACTGGGCCTTCCGAGGAGAGGCAGCAGGGTGGTGGTCTGGGAGGCCTGCCACCCACCCTCAGGGAGCTAGGTTTCCTCAGGCGCTCAGCTGGGTAGCACTGGTTTTGTTTTTTTTCCCAAAGTTTGTAGCATTAAATTGGTTTAAGATGCAAAGTGGGCTTTGTTGGGTTGCTCCTGAGCTGACTGGTGTCTGAAGTTTGAGAGGCGGGCTTGTTTGAGGTGGGGCTCAACGTGAGCTCATGCCCAGCTGGGGACATCTACTGACCTTCCTGGGCCCCCAGGTTAGCCCCCTCCCAGGCACAGTCAGGTCTCAGCTGCCCCTGCTCTATAAACAGGGAGCCCTGTTTTTGTATACTTTGCAGAAATGCCTCTGGTCTCCTCTCCCCAAATATTCACAGGGGCCTCATTAGAAGCCCATGTTGAATTCCTGGGACCACCTTGGTCCTTGGGTGGGGTCTGGGGGTTCTGGGTGGGATCTTTCTTGGGCGAGTGGGGCTGGAGGCAGCATTGCTGTTCTGAGGTCTCCTCTGGGCTGCCATTTAGCCACATGCCATATCTGAAGGCAGAGATGTTTGACTCCCCTGCCTTGGGCTCTGTCTGGAGCTTTCTCCTAGAACTAAATTGGAGAAAAGGGAGAAGAAGCCTACAGGACCCTCAGGGATGAGTTGAACTGGTGTCTGGCTGGAATTCAAGTGCGTTCCCCAAATGCCCATCCACAGGGCCAGACAGAGGAGCTGCCCTCAGGCCCACGGCCTATGTCCTGAGCAGCTGCCCCCGCCCGCTCCTGTGCTGTCCCTTCCACACCCGGCCTAGCTAAGGGCTGGCCCTCCCAGGCTAAGCCTCAGGCTTGGTGTGGGAAACAAGCTCCTGCCTCTTACCAATGATGCTTGAAACTTCCCAGTTCCATAGAGTGTTTTCAGGATGCCATTTTGGGTGGTATTTCCTTTAGGGGCCGGGTAAGCTTTAAAACTAGAAGACTCGTTTTAATTTTCTACCAGGAAATTTCCCAGCCCCATCAGCAGCCCCTGATTCACCCGTGTCTCCAGGGGCATCAAAGGCTCGGGGGCTCCAGGGAACCCAGTAGCATTAAATTGTTCAGTAGAGTTGGCGAATCAAAGAAACTTCCTAACACCAGGGACAGGCTCGAGAGCCCCTCCCCGTTAAAGGTGTTAGAACAGTGGACCAGAGTAGTGAGTGTCCCTTTTCCACAGTAATGCAGTCGGTCGGCTAGTGTGACTGCAGGGAAGAAGAGGGACATGGTAAAGCTCGTAAAACAGGCCTTAGGATCGTTCTGGCTTTGTTGTCCCTCCCCCAGTGTTCTCAGCCTCAGTTCTGCACAGTGTTTAGAGTTTTAGTGAAAGAGTTTGGGTGGGTGCTCTAGCATCTGAGTGCTGTGTGGCTTGGCATATTTGAAGTGAAAACTTTTGGGGTTGTTTGGAAGCAGCTTTCTGGTTCTTGCCATTGTATGCTGAGGTCCCCACCTCATCCTGGGACCCCGTTCTCCCATGAGAACCCTCATTGACCATGGCGGCCACAAGCTCAGCTAGCCTCCTCGCTCCAGGGTGAGATGAAGCTTGCATATATGGTACGTTTGTCTGGAGGGTGAGCTGGGCCAGAGGGAACCTGGTCCCTGTGCTGGGACTCTGTATGGGTCATTTTCCTCCAGGCTGGCCTTGCCCTGGTCCTGCCTTGTTGAGCACCATGTAAGCCTCCTTGTGTTGTGATAATTGGGCATTAAACTGTAACTCTGGGTGTCTTGTCTTTGTTGTGCTTTCTAAAGTTCATTGCCAACTGTGGTTCTGGTTCCCCCAGGCTGAGGGCCAGAGGCTGTCCCAGCCTATGGTAGGAGCACATGTTTGCCCAGCTGATTGCTTCCCGGAAACAGCCTCCTGTCGCCACACTGCCTGATTACCATGCCTGATATCTCACCATTAAGGCACTGAAAAATTAGCAACACTCAGATCTAGAATCTGCCTCTATCACCTTTCACCTGGACAAAATTCACATGATATCTTAATAGGTGCAGAGAAAACATTTGAGAAAATGCAATACTCCTTTATGATTAAAAATAACAAAAACAGCCCAAGAAACTAGGAATAGAAAGTAATTTCCTCAACCTGATAACAGAGCATCTATGAAAAACCTACAATTAAGTGTCCTATCTAATGGGTGAAATTCTGAATGCTTCACCACCCAGCCCACCCCAAAATCAGAAACACAACAAGGATGTCCACTCCCTCCATTTCTATTCAACCTCGTACTGGAGGTTCTCGTTAGCACAATTAGGCAAGAAAATAAAAAGGAAAAAAAAGGCATTCAGCTCAATAGGAAAAAGTAAAATATCTCTATTTGTAGATAACATGATCTTGTATATAGAAAACCCTAAGGAGTTCATTAAAAATAAAAATATTTAAAATAGAATTCTAATAAAGGGTTGTAGGATACAAGATCAATATACAAAAATTGGTTGTATTTCTATAGACCACCAGTGAACAACCCAAAAAATGAAATTAAGGAAACAATGTCATTTACAATAGCATCAAAAATAACAAAAGCCAGGCATGGTGGCATGTGCCTGTTGTCCCAGCCACTCAGGAGGCTGAGGCAGGAGGATTGCTTTAATCCAGCCTAGGCAACATAGTGAGACCCCATCTCTAAAAATAATGGTAATAAAAAATAATAAAATATTTTAGAATCCATTTAATAAAAGAAGTGTAGAACTTAAAACTACAAAGTATTGTTGAAAGAAATTAATACCTAAGTAAATGGAAATACAGCTCATGTTCATGGATTGGAAGACTTACTATTGTTAAAATGGCAATACTGCCCAAACTGATTTACAGATTAAATGTAGTCCTATCAAAATTTCAGCTGGCTTCTTTGCAGAAATCAGCAAGCTAATCCTAAGATTCATGTGAAAATTCAAGGGGCTTCAGAAGAACCAAAATAATCTCAAAAAAGAAAAAAACAAAGAAAACTTCCAGATTTCAAAACTTATAACAAAGCTACAGTAGTCAAGACAAGCATAAGGACAGACATATAGATCAATGGGTTAGTATTGAGAGTCCAGAAATAAGTCCTCATTCATGGTCAATTGATTTTAGACAAGAGTGCCAAGACAACTCAATGGGAAAAAATAGTCTCATTAATAAATGGTGCTGGGACAACTGGATATCCACGTGTAAAAGAATGAAATTGGACCCCTAACTCACACCATACACAAAAATTAACTCAAAATGGATCAAAGACCTAAATATATGAGCTAAAACTATAAGACTTTTAGAAAAACAAAGCAAGGCATAAATCGTTGTGACCTTGGATTAGGCAACAGTTTCTTAAATATGATACCAGAAGCATAAGCAACAAAAGGAAAAAAATAGATAAACTGGACTTCACCAAAATTAAAACTTTTTTGCAAAAGACATCAAGAAAGTGAAAAGACAACCTACAGAATGGGAGAAAATATTTGCAAATCACATATTAAATTACAGATTTGTGTCCAGAATATAAAATGAACTCATACAACTCAGTAGTAAAAAGAAGCCAGGCATGGTGGCTCCAGTAGTCCCAGGTGCTCAGGAGGCTGAGGCAGGAGGATTGCTTGAGTCCAGGAGTTTGAGGCTGCATGAGCCATGATGACGCCACTGCATTCTAGCCTGAGTGACAGAGTGAGACACCATCTCTAAAAAGTAAAAATAAATTCTTAAAAATTTAAAACAAAAAGAGCTGGGCGCGGTGGCTCACGCCTGTAATCCTAGCTCTCTGGGAGGCTGAGGCGGGTGGATTGCTCAAGGTCAGGAGTTCAAAACCAGCCTGAGCAAGAGCGAGACCCCGTCTCTACTAAAAATAGAAAGAAATTAATTGACCAACTAAAAATATATATACAAAAAATTACCCGAGCATGGTGGTGCATGCCTGTAGTCCCAGCTACTTGGGAGGCTGAGGCAGGAGGATCGCCAGGAGTTGAGGTTGCTGTGAGCTAGGCTGACGCCACGGCACTCACTCTAGCCAGGGCAACAAAAGTGAGACTTTGTCTCAAAAAAAAAAAAAAGATCAATAGCCCAATTGCCCATGGACAGAGGATCTGAATAGATATTTCTCCCAAAAAAGATACACAAATGGCCAATAAGCACCTGAAAAGAGTCTCTCTCTTACAAATTGACATCGTATAGGAGATCTTGGGCAAAGCAATAAGACAAGACAGAGAAAAAAGCCCATGTCTGTCTACTCAAGACCTATGCAGTTAACTCCTGTGCTGTCCTGAACAAAGGTCATTTATTTATCAGACATTTATTGAGCATCTACTCTATGCCACAGTGGGGCCATAACTACCGCTCCTTCCTTGCCAAGGGTGTTTACCTGCCTTGAGAATTTGCTTCCTCTTCCCCTTGGAAGGCCAAGGTCTGGCAGGCGTGTGTCTGCAGCAGAACTCTTGAGGTGCCTGAAGGTCTGGGTTGCAGCAGGGAGAGGAGACCAGACCTCTCTGCAGTTCTAAATGAGATTTTCTAAGGCAGGGGTCCTCAAACTTTTTAAACAGGGGGCCAGTGCACTGTCCCTCAGACCGTTGGAGGCCCGCTGGAGAGTGCGGCGCACATTCCACACGTGCGCACTGTGGGCCCGGGACGAGTCGGCTGCTAAGCAGGACAGGCAGCGGCGGCAAAAACACCCTGCGGGCCGGATAAATGTCCTCGGCAGGCCACATGTGGCCGGAGGGCCACAGTTTGAGGACCCCTGTTCTAAGGGCTCAGCAGTGTGACAGTGCTTTTCAATTATGTGTCTTAAGATATTTAGTTTGCCTCTTGATCTATCCATCAATCCTGAGAGAGAGAACCGGTAATAAAACTGAACTTTGGCAAGTTTAAGATAAGATACTGACAACCGTAAACAGAACCGAAAGGGCTCTTCACTCATTCCTTTCACAGGCGTTTTTTGAGCACGTGCTGTGTGCCTGCATCCGCTAGGTGCTGCGGAAACCATGGCCCCTGACTTCAGGGAGCCGATTCTAACTCAAACCACATGGTTTACAGATTTGAACATTCATTTAAACAAGCACTGTTGAGTCTCTGTGTGCTAGGCTGGTGGCGCTCAAACTTTGGTGTCCATCAGAATTACCTGGAGGGCTTGTTAAAATACCAGTTCCTGGGCTCCCCCGCCCCCAGGGTTTCTGATTCAGTGGGTCAGGGGTGAGACCTCAGAAGGTGCGTTTCCAACGAGCCCCAAGGTGACGCTGAGGCTGTTGGTCAGGAGGACCCCACTTTGAGAACCACTGCACTAGACAATGTGCCCACACCGGGATTTGGACATTCCTCGATGTAAAAAAGAAAGAAAACAGCCCCTATTCCTGAGGAGCTCACAGCCTAGTACGTTTTCACAGCCATTCACTAACTCGCTCCTGTATTTGTTCAACAAATTAGGCCCTTGTGTGCATAACATCATTTAGCTTCCAGGAAAACCCTATGAAGTGGGTATTGTTATTAGCCCCATCTTTACAAAAGAGGGGACAGCCTCAGAGAGGTTAGGTAATGTGCACGAATTCACACAACATGTGGTGGAACCTAGGCTGTGGGTCCCCAAGAGACCCTTCTCTTAACCTCTAGTCAAACCTCATGTAAATAAGCCATCTAATAAAGTGTCAGAAATGCTACCATCACGGAAGAAGAGTGCTTTGGAGCTCAGGTGGACCCCGTCTAAGGAAGAATGGACTCAGAGAGGTCACGTTGGGGACGGGACATGAAGGAGATGCTTGTCAAAGGAAAGGGGGAGAAGACTGTGCAGCAGGCAGAGGGAACCTTCAAAAAAGGCCAGGTGGCTCCATGGTTAAAATATGTAGATTAGAGCATCCCGGTGAGTCCCAACTCACAGGTTCCCAGGCTTGTGGCAGTCCTCAAAAGTGACCACAGCAGAGTGACCAGTGTATCTGTTGGCTGGTGGCTATGTTGACCCAATCAAGGCCACACCTCCCTTCCTGGAGTGTGTGGTTCCTAAGGGATCAGGCGTTTGCCTGGTCTCAGGTGGGGCGCCTCAGCCGGGCCAGGTTCTTTTCCCAGCGTGGAGACCACTGCCCTCTGGTGGCCACCCTGCCAAATGCAGACGTTGGGAAAAGAGCTACCCTTTTTTGAGACCTTATTAAGGATCAGGTTTTAGTCTAAGTCTTTCAAAAACCTTATAGAATAGGCATTATTATCCCCAGTAAGGCTCAGAGAGGTGCATTTGCTTGTCTGATGTCACACAGCCTGGTAAGTGGTGGACAGAGCAGGACAAGGGTGAGCAAGCCACGTGCCTCACCTGCGTCACCCCAGGCTCCACCCTGGTGATGAAACTCCAAAGCCCATGCTCTTGACCTCCACGTGGTCCAGTATCCTAATTGGCATTATGGGGGCTCTGTGCTGACCTTAGACTTTTCCTGTGTGCGTGCAGTGCCAGATGCTGAGAAAACAAAGACGCAGTTGTCCTTTGCCCACGAAGGGTGTGAATGGTGATCCCTCAAATGTAAGTTGTGAGAAGATATCTGGTTTCAGGAGCAACAAAGGAAGCATGATTTTTGTGTGTGTAGTTAGTGTCCTAAGGCGAAGCGGGCAGCAGTGTCTGGTGACAAGGAGTCTTCTTCCCAGGCAACTTGTCCCCTGAGGCAAGGCAGCAACCCCTACCCCCAACCCCACCCCACCTCCACCGCTGAGCTGTCCTTTCAGGCCCCTAGGCCAAGCCTGGTCCCATCATTTCTCTGCTTGCACAAATCTTCCCCATGGTCCCAG